TGTGTGTGTGTGTGTGTGTAACGAATGCACGGCCGCAATTTTCGACAGATTTGCACCAAAATGTACATGCATATGCTCCAAGTTATTGGAAAGGCCAAGACCGACTTTGCATTTCCCAACTCTCATCGATATTGGAAATAATCGATTTTTTCATGCTTTTACGGCAGTTTTCATGTAGTTTGCGACCATTTTCCAGAGTGAGAGCCTATAGCTGGCTGCCACGAATAGGCAGGAACATTCTGTTGGCCAGCGTGAGAGCCAACAGCTGACTGACACGAATGTTAACTAGCATGCTAGCGTGCAGAAAAAATCGATAGCTGCATTCGTCACAAGTGGGAAAAATTTAAATCTGCATGGCACTTTACTCCAATTGGCTCATTCGCTTGCTTAAACTCAACGTTGATTCTGATTCCGCAGAACTGGATTGGGTGTGAAAACGTATTTGTTGTTAACATTCTTTTTTTATTCGGTTTTTCCAGTTACGAGTCCTTTTTTAAAGATGATCGTTTTGTGTTCATTTTGCTTAGTTGTTTTTTCGTAACAGATTTAATATTTAGTATAGAGCTTAGAAAAAAATTCGCAGTGTGAGATAAGCAAGAAGTAAGGCATGTAGCAACATCAGCACGGCAAAGGGCACTCCTGTAAAGGCAAGGAAGGGCAAAAATATATAGTCAAGTGATAGCGATTGCTGTATGAGTCGTACGATTTTTGAATCAAGCACGGGCAACGCCGGGCCATGATGCTAGTGTTTTCATATAAGGAAATGGCTAATATTACCATTAGCATTAGAGATGAGAAGAACAGATACTACACTTTGATCCCAGCGCCATGGTCAAAGCAGTGAAGAAAAGCGTAACTTTAGTTGCACTGGCTGCTCGGTCAATGAAAGTTGAATGTTACCTGATGAAAAAAAAAAACGGTTAATATTACTATTAGCATTACTATGTTCGTCACTGGTATATTCATAGCGCCGCTTTTTTTTTGTCACTGACGTGGATGAGAGAAAGAAAAAAAAATGAAACGTTTTATGTTGAAGACGTAAGTGCAAGTGACCTCGAAGAGGTGCTGTCAACTCATTCTGTCATATCGATACGGAGGAGAGAAACGTAATAACAACTAATAATAGGAAGACGTCAGCTTGCTGCTGGCGATGTTTCTGTTGTTTGTGTTTACGGTGGCCAGAGGGGGGGAGGGCGCAGAACGACGACAGTTGTATGAATTTTGTCTTTCTACTACTGGGACAAAGTGAAAAAGCTTTTTCAACAACGCGTTTCGCTTAAATGTGCTAGTTTCAGCATCTTCAGGTTGGAATGAAAAATAGCACAGCTTTGGCGTAAATGAAAGGAAATTCGGATTTTTCTCTTTTGTTCTAAACTGAAGAAACTGAACCTTACACAAATCAGTGAAACGCGTCATTAAAAAATGTTTTCCTACTTTATTCAATCACGCACACAAACATACACACACACACACACACACACACACACACACATATATATATATATATATATATATATATTCTTTCTTTTTTCTTTTCCATTCTTTCTTTCACTTTTCTTGGCCTTCATTTCTTTCAATTTATCTTCTTGTCGCCTTGTTTATTTGTTTCTTTCTTTCAATTTATCTTTGTTTCGCCCTTCTTTCTTTCTTTCTTTCTTTCTTTCTTTCTTTCTTTCACTTTCGTTGGCCTTTATTTCTTTTAATTTATCTCCTTGTTTAGTGTTTCTTTCTTCAACTTATTTTTGTTTCTCCCTTCCTTCCTTCTTTCTTTCTCCCTTCCTTCTTTCTTTCTTTCTTTCTTTCTTTCTTTCTTTCTTTCTTTCTTTCTTTCTATTGGTCTTATCGTTTTGTTTATTTAATTGTCTTTTTATTTGCTAGTTTCTATTTTCTTTCTTTCAATTTATATTCGTTTCTCCCTTCTTTCTTTCTTTCTTTCTTTCTTTCTTTCTTTCTAGTTGTTTATTTTTTTCGTTAAATTATGAAGTCTTTTAATCTGACATCTATAGTGTTTTTACACATTGTCATATCTCTACTCCTCTTCTCTGAATCCCCCCCTCTCTCTCTCAACATTATCCCTATTTTTCCTTCCCTCCTCCCTATATAACCTATCTACCACCTCCTCTGCCTGCCTCTCTTCTTTTTTTCTTCTCTTGTCTCGTATTACCTCTTCTTTTTATTTATCCTTTCTTACTATTTCTCTATCCACTTTTATAAAAAAAATCTTACTCGTCTCTCTCCGATATTTTTCCCGCCTCTTTTTCTCACTTTACATCTTGAAAGTCTTTTTCGCAATTGGCTCCTTTTTGTGTCGAGGTCAACAGAAATATAAGAGAAGAGTGTAAAAATCCGGAGTTTGGACGATTGTAGAGGAAAAAAGAAGCTTTAAGTGCTCCCCTACTCAAAGCTACAAGAGCCCAACCTCTAAAATGCTGAATAAAACTTGCCCAACACTGCCTTTTTCCCGTTAGCCGCTCCCCCCCCCGGGCACCCACATCCATCCTCCGTTCTCGCCGTCAAATATAGACCCTCGTGTTTATTAGCTAATTGCCTAGTGACTCTGAACATAACAGCAAATTACTCGCGTGTTTTGGTAGGAAGAGGAAAAGGTGGAGGAGAGAACGTACTGGAGGAGGAGGAGGGAAAGATTACAGCGGGCTGAGGGTGATGAAATGTTGACGATGATGATGATGACGATGATGATGATGACGATGATGATGAGGAGGAGGAGGAAGAGAGGGAAGAGAAAGCGGAGGTGAAGGAGCAAGAGGAAAAAGTAAAAGAGAGAAAGTGAAGGAGGAGGAGGAGGGGTGCGGAAAAACTGACATGTCGACGGCATAAAGATGACAGCCAGTTATTAACTTATATGAGTCTTGTTGACAATGATGATGACTATGATGGGTGATAAAGAGGAATAATAATTATAATAATAATAATAATAATAATAATAATTTCTACTACTACTACTACTACTACTACTACTACTACTACTATTACTACTACTACAGCAGCAACAACAACAGACGATAAACACATTTTTCTTCTTAAGTAACTTTTCCCATAGCGCCATCGTTTTGCTACTGTTTATACATTTCTTGCCCTCCTGTGACAATTTTCTGGATTTTTTCTTCTCCTGTTCAGAGAAGTCATTGAAACCGGCTAAAAATCCATGAAGTTAAAATGTATTCCTTCTAGGGTTAGTTAGATGATCACTCCTTCAGTATACATGGCCGGTGCAAGAGTAACAATCTATTATACGGGGTCCCCATCTCAACTTTCATCGGGTAGTATTCGTATAAAATATAAATTTTATTGTAACCACATTATGTGTGATAATAGCTCATATGTATTATAGGTGAACAATTCAATTATAAAAAATTGAAAATAAATATAATGTGGATCTAAATACAAATTAGAGACATGTCATAATAGATCATTACATCTTAAATAAATGTCATAATAGATCGTTCCATCTTACATAAATGTCATGATAGATCATTCCATCTTAAATAAATGTCATAAGAGATCTTAAATAAATTTCATAATAGATCGTTCCATCTTAAATAAATGTCATAATAGATCATTCCATCTTAAATAAATGTCATAATAGATCGTTCCATCTTACATAAATGTCATGATAGATCATTCCATCTTAAATAAATGTCATAAGAGATCTTAAATAAATTTCATAATAGATCGTTCCATCTTAAATAAATGTCATAATAGATCATTCCATCTTAAATAAATGTCATAATAGATCATTCCATCTTACATAAATTTCATAATAGATCGTTCCATCTTAAATAAATGTCATAATAGATCGTTCCATCTTAAATAAATGTCATAATAGATCATTCCATTTTAAATAAATTTCATAATAGATCATTCCATCTTAAATAAATGTCATAACAGATCTTAAATAAATTTCATAATAGATCGTTCCATCTTAAATAAATGTCATAATAGATCATTCCATCTTAAATAAATGTCATAATAGATCATTCCATCTTACATAAATTTCATAATAGATCGTTCCATCTTAAATAAATGTCATAATTGATTGTTCCATCTTAAATAAATGTCATAATACATCATTCCATCTTAAATAAATGTCATAATAGATCATTCCATCTTAAATAAATATCATAATAGATCATTCCATCTTAAGTAAATTTCATAATAGATCGTTCCATCTTAAATAATTGCCATAATAGATCATTCCATCTTAAATAAATGTCATAATAGATCATTCCATCTTAAATAAATCAACAATGTTTTGCGGCAATTTTTAACATCACTTTCAGATATTTCTTCTTAATAAGTTGAATAATTTTAACATATTCAACATCATGGATAAAGAATGATAAATTTTATATCGTGATTTTTCGAGTCTTATCATGAGCAAAACAAAGTCAGGAAATTGGAGAAAAAAAATGAACCCAGAATGACAACAAAATTTTTCATCCTTTACTCATCAGTTGTCTTTTTTTTTCTGAACACTTCATTTAGCTCACTGCGGTAGACTGTTCTAGTTCCACGTGCCAAGTTTAATGGATATCAGTTATCAGTTATCTCCTGTTAATTTCCCTCTGAATGTTCTCCACTGCCTTAACCGGGTATTGAACACACACTCTTTGGGTCCTGTCACTGGATCTAACCAACGCCTTTATCCACAGTGCCATGTGTCCTTGAGTGAGCGAAATAAAGGGTTAAGTTCGACATTCCAACCACCTGAAGAACGCCGGTGCGTACAACGGCCGAAACGTTGTAATAAATATGGCGACAAAGATGAGGACAATAGTCCGAATAATGTAAATAATGTAAAATAATGTAGGTATAAAAAAAAAGAAATATTGATAAGATAGCGATGGTCAAAAAGCATTGTCAGGGGTCCCTAATCAGGCTTGCCCCCCCCCGGTCGGGTGGTTCGGTGATAGTATGCGCCGGCCGTGTCAGTATACACTTGTGCTTCTGGCGCGTAAGGGCACATCACGTTGAAATATGGTTCTCGTACGATCGCCGAAGTTAAGCATCGTAGAGCCAGGTCAGTACTTATATGGGAGACTGCTTGGGAACACCTGGTGCTGTAAACAGGCTCCTACTACCGGGATTAATTTTAGGCACCTCGAGGCGGTGTAATGGTTAGCAAGCTTGTCTTGCTAGAACAATTAAGACTGAGTAGTGAGTTCGATCCTCACTCGGCGCCCTATACTTTCGGCCTTGTTCCACATCTAAACTACGCTTGGAAAATCTCTATAAATGTAGGTATAAAAAAGCAAATATTGATAAGATAGAGATGGTCACAAAACACTGTCAGGGGAATGGCTTCAAAAAACCACTCGAGATGTTTCTGAACTATCTTTCATTTCATCGCAACAAGATGTTTCTGCTATCTTTCATTTCATTTCTGTGTCCACTTCTCCCTATCCCTTGTAGCTCTCAATGAGTTTCGTCCCTCTTACCACGTTCTGTTATCCACTTGCTCAAGCCCGCCAGGCATGTAACGCGTTGTTTTCCCTTGTCTCTCTCTTTCCCTCTATTCGACCCGTGAATATCAGATTCTCCAGGCTCTCTTTTCTCATTATGTGTCCCAGAAATTGTAGATGCCTCTTCCTGATGTTAAGTATAAACCTCCCCCTTGCTTGCATCATCTCCAGGACCTCGTCGTTGTTCACATGCATACACATGGATCGCTACAATCTTAACCTATCAAGACTAGTATTAATCGTTATCTACCTCACCTATACACACGAATGACCTCCTAACGTAACCCTCTACCTCGAGTGGCCACTGGGCCTTGTAAAGGATGAATCTCACTGTAAAAAAAAGGCCCGAAAGTCTGGTGCCCGAACAGCCGTGCCCAAACCACATTGCCCAAAAGGTTGGGCCCAATCGTCTAATTCCGAAGTATTTTTCTGTCATTTCACGTTTTTTGTTCACCTGTAAGAAACTTCTAAATCATTCCCTGATATATAGAAGGCTTGTTATTACATAGCGATTCAGCACTCTGTTCTTTGTTTCTGGGGAATTTTTCCTGTTTCTTAATACATTATTTATCTTTCGGAAGGTGTCATTTAGATGTTTAGATTTTCTAACCGAATTTCAGTGCTCGTTGAAGAATGTTCCCTTGACAGCGAGCAAATATTTATACCCAGGCTGGGGCAGAAATTCCTCCCACGTATACCTCCCAGAAATACCTCTTACCATCATGTGGGTGGTATTTCGGGGAGGTATGTGGAGATATTTCTTTTTTATATAATTTCTGTATATATTTCTTTTATTTTAGATGCTATCCATACTTCGTTAGGCCCAGTGCCCGTTGTTATCAATAACATTCTGGATAATCGATCTCATGCAGGATTACCGGTACTTGTTGAAATCTTTCCTGTCTGACTTTTACACACAGATTACATGCATCCGGTACCTAACCATCTTTGTAGAACTAAGAATTCTCCTTATCGAATGTTGGATGAAAAACGCAATTTAAAAAAAAAAATTACTGTCGTTCCCGTTTCACGTTGACGGGTACGAATTTGAAGCTGGCAGATCTAGACGGAAGAAAGTCCCAAGGAAGGATGCATATTCTTTAAATAAGTAATTCGAACCTTGCTCTATCAAGATGGCCTCCCGTGTCTAGAAAAAAAAAAGGTAGCGATACTTTTCAGCTACAAAAGCGGTTTCCGTTAGTGGTACAGGTTCGATTCCTATCGGAAAGTACACTTTTTCTTTAATTTGACTTCTCATTCTCAATGGGGTGTTATTAATGTCAATGTTTAACAAAATAAAAGAAAAATCAAGGATTCCATGTCGAGACTACATTGTTTTCTCTACTAAACCTGATTGTTCATACTAACACTTCTACTTCTCTGTATATATTCCTGTTTGTAATATATATGTTATATTCCATATCCGTATTCGAGTTCTTCTTTATTGGTTCTACCTTGGACTATCACTGTGGTACAAGGAACCGGACCATAACAGATAGCAACTCAAACAAGTATATCCACTAAAATAACTTTCATAGTAAAAAAGAAATATTACAGGATTGAAAAAAATCCATTGAAAAAGACGCAATTATAAAGCAATGTTTCCCGATAGAATCAAGTATAAACACGAAAAGGTTTTATTTATAGACACGCGTATAAACCCCACCAATGCTTACCTATTGATTAAAATATAAACGCGACTAATAACCTACCGATGGACTAAATTATAACCTGGACTAAATTTCAGGTTTTAAAGGAACAGCATCTTTTATTTTTTCTTGTTATTTATTTAAAGAATTTTTTTTCATTAAATTACAGTGCCCTGACCTTCTGTTGAACCTTTTCTTCATTGAAATATGCTAAAGTTTATTTATTTGATAATTAGATATGAATTAAAACAAATTATTGGAGCTATATTCAAGTTTAAAAAAAAAACAACATTTTTTATTGTTATTAAATTTGTAAAACTCGTCTATAAGAAATAATCCTCATGTTAATGGCCATATTTATTACAACGTTTCTGCCGTTGTACGCTTCGGCCTTCTTCAGGTGGTTGGAATGTCGAACTGAACCCTTTATTTCGCTCACTGGGGTAGACTGTATAGTTCCACATGCCATGTCTAATGGATGTGAGTTAATAGTTATCTCCTGTTAATTTCCCTCTGAAAGTTCTCCACTGCCTTAACCGGGTATTGAACTCACACAGTCAGGCCGAAAATGAAGTACTGTTGCCATATATGTGCGGGAGCTGACCAGTCCTCACTTTCCAGTTTTGATAGAGTTCATAAGCGTCTCCGAGTCTTTATTGGAGAAGAATTATTCCCATCCTCCAACGTTTCTCTCACAGACGGTATGTGGTGAGTCTCTCACTGCTCTATTGCTACTACCATGGAAAATACTCGGGCGAACTACATTCCTTGGTTCCTACAGATCTAACCTTCACGGCTAAGACCCGATATGCCACTTACATAGTAACAAACCACTCACATTCCCCCCGTATTTCATCAGTAAATTCCAATCGAACAGTTTCTTCCTCCGAAACACTGCTTTGTGGAATAGACTTCCAAGAGGATGCTTCCCCTATCAATACAATCTTAACCTGTTCATCTCTAGAGTCAACCGTTGTCTTTCCCTCCTAGACTTATAAACTACACCATAACGTAACCTTCTACCTAGATTGGCCCGAGCCTTCTACAGGGTTAACCTTACTGCAAATAATACAAATAAGTCCTAATATATGGCATTGAATGCTGGATACACTCTTTACGTCAAAAACGACATATACACGTAATATTAGAAAGAGACAGTTGAATTTTTTAGGGCACATAACGTGTAGGGTTTAACAAGATTTTCGAATCACCATGTATATTTGAAACGACTCTCTTCAGATCGTAGGCGATTATGACTCACCAAACTTCCTGAATTTTGCTGTTCTAAATAACGATTATTATTTTATCATTCGACTATATATTTGTGGTTTTTGTTCTACCATCCATTCACTTAAACTTATCAAATAGAGTTTTATGCCATGTCAATTCAGGGCGCAAACGTGCATGTTTCTCCACATCTTCCTGTCTTTTATGGCTCGAATTAATAATTACTTCTTTATGACTCCTCTTTGATTTGTGGTCCTTGTTCAGTCTTTTATTCTTTTCAGTCTTTTTCAAAGAAAAGAATACTGAACTGTTACGTAATATAAAAACCAATGCCCTGTGAAACTGACTCCCAAGAGGATGCTTCCCCGGTCAATACAATCTTAATCTGTTCGAGTCTAGAGTCAACCGTTATCTTTCTCTCCTATCCATATAAAATACCCCTTAAAGTAGCTCTCTCCTTCGAGTGGCCCCCGGGTCTTGTAAAGAGTGAACCTTACTGTAAAAAAAAGATACTCACAAATAATCACTCACAATTACTTACATTTTTACATATAGACTCACGAATAATCTTTACCAGTGTTTACCTATAGACTCACAAATAATCGCTTCTAATGTTTATCTATCGCGTCGAGTATAAACACACCCAAACATTTAATTTTCTACATAATGCACTTCCCTGTTGATTCAATTAACCTAATGCTTCTTCACTAATCACAGATCGAAAACTATACAGATTTCAGATCTAATAACTAGCAAGTAAAAAAGAATGTGTCACCGGAAAAGTAAGTGGAGACGAAAAGAAAAAAAAAGCAATAAAAATTAAAAGAGTGAGATTATAGTAGAACATGAAAATTAAAAGTCATGCCATTAATATTTGGCACACTAGGAACCGTAACAAGATTACAAGAACTGATAGTAGACAAAAGCAAAGAGTTCTCTAAACCAAGGTACGCGTAACCCTGGCGATACGTGAGAGAAATTAAGGGGTTATGCAATCAAGGGTTGTGCTACCGGTACTCGAGTCACGTTTTTATGATTAAAAAATTCACGAATCTTTTCCCCTTTTCTTGATAGTGTTCTCTGTTCATCATTTGATTTTTGTCTTGGTTTACGATCTGTCCAAAGAGTTATGTTCCTTGAATTAAGACTAGAAATGACACCCTCCGAACGAAACTGATGTCTTGTCTGAACTGCAACGCTACATTTCCTTAAGAAAAATGGTAGTTGCGAAATCATTTAAAAAGTTAAAAGCTTAGAATTTGAGTAAAGAAACGTTATTTAATAAATAATTACTACTGTTACATTCAACTTCTTCCTGGAACTTCTTTCACTTTCTGATAGGATGGTAACACGCGAAAAAGCCCTGGTATCAAAACATTTGAGAGAAAACGGCATTATTTTATATACGTCTATACACCCTTGTGCAAATTAATTGAAACAAAACGAATAATTCCGTTATTATTTATTTTTTTTGTATTTTTGCAATGAAATATGACCCAGTGTACATGTTAGTATTTCGAATGTCCATTCCACGAAGTCATTCCTTGCAGATTGACTACAGATTCTCGATTGGATTTAAATCAGGAGAGTTTCTAGGCCAGTCTATAGTACTTTGGTTTGCTCATTGGTAAGGCTTGCCACTGTGTTCGTGCAGCGTTACAATTTTCGTACGCTTCCTTGGAGTAACGTCCATCGCAGAAAATGACCGTAGGACAACTAATCGACAAT